TCTCTCACACACACACACACACACACAAACACACACACACACACACACACACACACACACACACACACAAAAGAGCTCTTTTAGTTATAGCATACCAAAAATCTTTTTTTTTCTTTTTTTTTTTTTTAGCTAGAATTTCGCTCTTGTTGCCCAGGCTGGAGTACAATGATGCAATCTTGGCTACCGCAACCTCCGCCTCCTGGGGGTTTCTCCTGCCTCAGCCTGCCTCAGCCTCGCGAGTAGCCGGGATTATAGGCATGTGCCACCACGCCCGTCTAATTTTGTATTTTTAGTAGAGATGGGGTTTCTCCATGTTGGTCAGCTAGTCTTGAACTCCCAACCTCAGGTGATCCACCTGCCTCGGCCTCCCAAAGTGCTGGGGTTACAGGCTTGAGCCACCATGCCCAGCCTCACACCGTAATTCTATAATTATTAATCAAGTCTTCAGCCCCTATGCCTTTCTGCTTTCACGATGTTCGTTTTGCCTGAGCAACTTCCCTGTCCTGTATCACTGCTTGCATTTCATTCACATGTATTGTGTACCTGCCTAGCTCACGGATCCTCTTTTCCTGGGAGTTGCCCCTCCTCCCTGCAATCAGACACTGAAATGGGCCCCTCGGCCACATCGGTATTATATGATCCTGTCCTCTTGGCCTTTGGTTATTTATGTTTTGTTTGTTTGTTTGTTCATTTATTTATTTTGAGACAGAGTCTCATTCTGCCAGGCTGGAGTGTGGTAGCACGATCTCGGTTCACTGCAACCTCTGCCTCCCAGTTCCGAGCAATTCTCTGCCTCAGCCTCCCGAGTAGCTGGGATTATAGGCGCTCATCACCACGCCTGACTAATTTTTTTATTTTTAGTAGAGACCGGGTTTCACCATCTTGGCCAGGCTGGTCTTGAACTCCTGACTTCCTGATCCACCTGCCTTGGCCTCCCAAAGTGCTGGGATTACAGGCCTGAGCCACCGTGCCCGGCGGGCATTGATTATTAAACTCAGGGCCAACACTAGTGTGAACTAGCTTACTCAGAGTCTCTCTGTCAGGAATTTGGAATGTTGAAATAGAGAGGTACAGAGCCTGGGAGCCCTTAGAGCTGAGTTCCATTCCTATCAGCACTTTAGGGAGCACTGCCTTTGCAGAAGTGCCTGGAAATCCCCTGATGCCTACTCTTTCTACTCTTCCACTAGGTAACATAAACCAATATAATTGTGTTTGAGACACTTTTAGGCTCTGGGGATGCAAATATCAACTAAAATGCTGCCTCTGGCCTCCAACAGTATCTATTGAAATCCTACCCATGTTTAGAATCACAGCTTAAAAGCCACCTTCCTCCTTTAAGTTTTCCCATATTCCCCAAGCGGGATTAACCTCTCTCCAGGGTATTGTCATTGCACTTTGCTTTACTTCTCTTACATTAAGTCATGTCTTTGAGCTTGTATTTACTTATGATGTATTTGTTTGATACCTTGAAGATCTTTCTGGATATTATTAGGTTGGTGCAAAGGTAAATGCGGTCTTTATCAAAGTAATGGCAAAACCCACAATTACTTTTGCACCAACCTAACAGTATTTATTTATTTAAAAATTTCTGTAGAGATGGGGTCTTGCTGTGTTGCCCACGGTTGTCTCAAACTCGTGGACTCAAACAATCCTCCCTCCTCAGCCTCCCACAGTGCTGGGATTACAGGTGTGAGCCACCATGCCAGGCCACTTTGAGCTATTTTGAACAGCTGCCTCTCCCAGTGATTGCAAACCCTTTAATATCAAGGACTAGATCTGGCTGTCTTTTTAGTCTCTCAGCTCCTGGCACAGAATCACAAACAGATCACTTGGAAAGACCATCTGTTGTTTTGTCTGCCCATGTTTCTCTCTCTTTTTACTCCATCCTTAAAAAATAAATAAATAAATAGGCCAGGCACAGTGACTCATGCCTGTAATTCCAGCACTTTGGGAGGCCCAGGTTGGTGGATCATTTCAGGTCAGGGGTTCGACACCAGCCTGGCCAACATGGCGAAACGCTGTTTCTACTAAAAATACAAAAATTATCTGGAGATGGTGGCGGGCACCTGTAATCCCAGCTACTCGAAGGCTAAGGCAGAAGAATCGCTTGAACCTGGGAGACGGAGGTCACAGTGAGCCAAGATTGCAATACTGCACCACCCTTGGTGAGAGTAAGACTCTGTCTAAAATAAAATAATAAAAAAATAGAGGTAGAGTATTGCTTTGTCATCCAGACTCAGTGCAATGGTTTGGGTCATAGCTCACTGCAGCCTGCAACTTCTGGACTCAAGCAATCCTCCCACCTCAGCCTCCTGAATAACGGGGACTACAGGAACACAATATCCTGCCTGGCTAATTTTTGTATTTTTTGTGGAGAAAGGGTCTTATTATATTGCCCATGCTGGTCTCGAAGTCATGGGCTCAAGCTATCCTCTTGCCGCAGCCTCCAAAAGTGCTGAGATTACAGGCAGGAGCCACTGCACCCAGCCTCCCTTTTCTATTGATAACTACATCCCTATTTTCCTTGGAGAAAACAGCCCTTTTTCACTTGTGATTGTTAAGTTTAGGTCTCAACTTGACTAGATTAAGGAATACCTATGAGGTGTTTCCAGAAGAGATTACCATGCGAGTGTGAAGGAAGGAAGTGTGGAAGATCTGTCCTCAGTGTGGGCAGGCACCACCCAATCAGCTCCCCCTAACCCACCATAGAACAAAACACAGAGAAATAGCTGAGCTGGTCTCTCTCCTGGAACTGAGATACTCTCCTCTTCTCCTGCCATGGACATTAGAACTCCAGCCTCTCTGGCCTTTGGACTCTAGCACTTACACCAGTGGCCTCATGGGTTCTCAGGCCTTTGGCCCCAGGCTAAGAGTTACACCGTCAGCTTCCCTGAGTCTGAGGCTTTCAGACTTAGACTGAGCCAAGCTCAGGCATCCCAGGGTCTCCAGCTTGCAGATGGCTCGCCATGGGACTTCTTAGCCTACATAATCAAATGAGCCAATTCCCTCATTCAATTCCCTCTTCTGTATCTACCTGTCCATCCATCCTATTGGTTGTCTCTCTGAAGAGCCCTGATGAATACCCCTCTTAATTCCACATTTCATGTGGGTTCTATAAGTGATCACATGACCTGTGTTTGGTCAGAGCCACAGTGATTTGGACATGTGACCTGTCAGGGTATGACAGCTGAGATTCTGGCTGGACAAATCTGGAAAGAACCTCTCTTTACTGGGGTTACTCACCTGTTAGTCCATAAGCCTGCTGCTATTTATGGTCACTTTTGCCACCACATGGAAAGAATCTGATTATTATTATTATCATCATTTTGAGACAGAGTCTCACTTTGTCACCCAGGCTGGAGTGCAATGGCGTGATCTCGGCTCATCACAATCTCCCCATCCTGGGTTCAAGCTATTCTCTCACCTCAGCCTCCTGAGTAGTTGGGATTACAGGAACCTGCCACCATGCCTGGCTAATATTTTTATTTTTAGTACAGATGGCGTTTCACCATGTTGGCCGAGCTGGTCTTGAACTCCTGACCTCAGGTGATCCACCTGCCTGGGCCTCCCAAAGTGCTGGGATTACAGGCATGAGCCACCTTGCCCGGTCCTCTTCTTCATCTTATAAAGTCACTGGTCTCGGCCGGGCGCGGTGGCTCAAGCCTGTAATCCCAGCACTTTGGGAGGCCGAGACGGGCGGATCACGAGGTCAGGAGATCGAGACCATCCTGGCTAACACGGTGAAACCCCGTCTCTACTAAAAATACAAGAAAATTAGCCGGGCGAGGTGGCGGGCGCCTGTAGTCCCAGCTACTTGGGAGACTGAGGCAGGAGAATGGTGTGAAACCGGCGGGGCGGAGCTTGCAGTGAGCCGAGATCGCGCCACTGCACTCCAGCCTGGGGCACAGAGCAAGACTCCGTCTCAAAAAAAATAAATAAATAAAAAATAAAGTCACTGGTCTCATCATGGGAGCCCCACCCTGGTGACCTTATCTAATGCTAATTACCTTGAAAAGGCCCCACTTCCAATTCTCATCAACATATGAATGTGGGGTTTCCAACATATGAAATTTGCCCCAGGCATGGTGGCTCACACCTGTAATCCCAGCACTTTGGGAGGCCAAGGCAGGTAGATCCCTTGAGGTCAGGCGTTCAGGACCAGCCTGCCCAACATGATGAAACCCCATCTCTACTAAACATACAAAAATTAGTTGGGCGCAGTGGCACATGCCTCTAATCCTAGCTAATCAGGAGGCTGAGGCAGGAGAATCACTTGAACCCAGGAGGCAGAGGTTACAGTGAGCGGAGATCACGCCGCTGCACTACAGCCCGGGTAACATAACAAGACTCTGTCTCAAAAAAAAAAAGAAAAGAAAAGAAAAGTAGATACAACTGGGATATGTCATGCACTTTCTTTACCGATATTCAGCCCTCTGAGAGCCTTTGATTTTCCCCTCCCCTAGGCTGCTTCCTCCAGGCCTATGATTCCAAAGGGTATGTGTGTGGGAAGCTTAGGCTGAGTACAGTAACCGGGTGTGTCTGGAAGGCTAATGTCCTGACTACAGGGAAGTGGATGGGGGATGGGGGATGGGGGGTGGGGGGGGGACACAGGGTTACAGACCTGTATAGACACAGGGTTATAACCATGAAACAGATTGAGGATCCAGTTGCCTTTGAATCCCAGCGCCACTGCTTCCCAGCTATGGCACCTTAGACAAGTCACTGTTTCCTCATATCTAGACTGGGAGTGATGATAGGCTCTGCCTAGTGGGGTTGTTATGACATTAAATGAGCAATTGCATACCAAAGTGCTCAGAACAGTTCCTGGCAGAGAGTAAGGGCTCAATAAATTGGCAATTATTATTATCTCCCTGGCCTTCCCCCACCCCAGGCAAGTGAGACAAGTTTATACCAACAGTTCTTCCTCCCTTTCTCCCTTCTTCCCTCCTGCCTTCTGTAACCCTATGTAACTGCCTTCAGAGAACACAATCGAACACAGATCCTTTTAGAAAAGCAGGTTTATTGGTCGGGCTGCTCACCAGGACACAGCAACATGAGAGGTTCCCCAAGCCCACAGAAAACTGCATCTGCCCACAGCTCAAGCCCCTTCAGGCCATCAGCACCAAGGGACCTTGTCCCACAATCCCCAGCCTCCCTCAGCAGAGGGGTCTTCAACCATTCAGAGAAGACAACCAAAAAGGAAAAGAAAGGAAAAAAGAAAAAAAAAAAAGCAAAGCTTTGTATTGTATAAAAGGTTTGTGTCCCCAGGCTCCCTCCCCCAATCCCTTAAAACAGTGAGCTGCAGTTCTAAAAAGCAGGGCAGAGAAGGTAAGGAGCAGGTGGGGGAAGGAGGAAGCCCTCGAGGCCTCCCTTCAGGCTGTGACTGGGGAGAGGGGCTGTTCTTGCTTCTGACAAACCCCGTTTAATGGGGAGGAACAAAGGGACTCCTGTCTTGAGAACCTGGTCTGAACAGAATCAGGCCTCTGGACTGGGAGCAATACTCCCTTCACCCCCAAAGATTCAGGAAAGGCACCCCAAGGACAAGGAAACCAGTGAGGCCTTGGCTAGCTCTGCAGCTTTAGGATTCTAGCTCTAGGGAAGGATTTTTTTCTTTTTTAAACAGCGTCTTGCTCTGTTGCCTAGGATGAAGTGCAGAGGCACCATTAGAGCTCACTGCAGCCTCAAACTCCTGGGCTCTGGCGATCCTCCCTCCTCAGCCTCCCGAGTCGCTGGGACCACAGGCACGTGCCACCATGCCCAGCTAGGGAAGGAGCTTGAGAAGAAACTGGCAGGAGTGAACCAGGAGTGAACTTGGTGGCAGGGCCAGCACCTTGCTCTCCCTCCTAATTCCCAGCCTGCTGCTGCCCCCTTCTGGGACCCTAATTTTCTGGACTTTGAGAAATGGGCTGCCCCTGGGGGCGCCTCCGAGAGCCCATTTGAGGGATCGGGTGGGGCTGACCTCTTTGTCCTCTTTGGATCACCGCCTTCTCACACTGTCCTCCCTCTTGATTCTGAAAAATGGTCCTGCTGCCCATGGAGAACCACAGTAAGATGGACTTCTCATGCAGCTAGTGAGGGGACTTCCCTCTTCACCCATTTCCACCTTCTCCTAGTTTCCTTTTTTTTTTGTTTTGTTGAGATAGAGTCTCACTCTGTCACCCAGGCTGGAGTGCGGTGGTGCGATCTTGGCTCACAGAAACCTCCACCTCCCGGGTTCAAGCAATTCTCCCCACCTCAGCCTCCAAAGTAGCTGGGATTACAGGTATGCACCACCATCCCGGGCTAATTTTTGTAATTTTAGTAGAGATGGGTTTTTGCCATGTTGGCCAGGCTGGTCTCGAACTCCCGACCTCAGGTGATCTGCCCACCTGGGCCTCCCAAAGTGCTGGGGTTACACGCATGAGCCACCGAGCCTGGCCAACCTTCTCCTATTTTCCCATTCTCCTTTCCAAAGCCATGGCCATGTGCTCCTGTGTACAGGTGCATAAACACATCAGTGTGCCATCCCTCACATGTCGTTCCCCACCCCTCCTTTCCAGGGCTTCTCTTGGCTCCAGCGTTCCTCTGGGTCCCTCTGCAGATACAGCCTGTGCTGGACCTCCAGCCAGGGTGAGGGCTCATTCTGCTCTCTTCCCCACTGCCTCAGTTTCACCCCAAAGCTGCTTTCACATCCTTCCAGTAGGGGGCCTCCCATGGGGGCAAGGATCCCCTTTAGGATTCAATCTTTTCTCTTTGGGCAGTTTTGGCTTTGAGTCCCCCAGGGTCAGGGTGAGAATGAAGAGCTCAGTGAGCGGAATGACAGCAGCTGGGTGGGTGGTGTGAGGAGAGGCTGAGGGGAAGGCAGCCCCCCCAGAGGGGCCTAACTGTGGAATCACTACAATTTCCTCTGAGATCCCGGCTTGGATAACCAGGACAGGGATCGCCCATTCCCTTCCCATTCCACCCGGACTGTGTCCAAGCGGGGGCTGTCCACTGCGGGGGCTGCCTCTCCATCGGGTCCTAACAGCTCTAAGACTGGGAGGGGAGATCCTGGAGGTGTTGGGGCGGGGCCGTGTTTTCAATTTAGAAAAATATCAGCCAGTTCGGGGCCGAGAGAGAATGCGACAGAGGAAGTTCGGAAGGAGCGAGGAATGGGGTGGGTGGCGGCGGGGGCGGCTCAGTCGCTGTCGCTCTTGTCCACCAGCACGGCGTCGGACTCCTCGGTGATCTCCAGCAGCGCGTGCGCGTCGGGGCTGCTCCCGCGCCGCAGGTCGCCGGCCTCCCCGCGCTCCGCGCCGCCCTCGTCGTCGTCGTCGGCGCCCACCTCCACCATCTCGGTGGCCTTGAGCACCTCCACCTGGCCCTCGCGGATCTTCTTGACGTGGAAGGTGAAGGGCGGCACCTTGTAGACCGCGGTCTTGGAGCGCGCGTACACCACGTGGTCGGGCGTGAAGGATTTGCGCAGCTTGTCCCGCGACGTCTTCAGCTTCTCGCGCCGCTCGGCGGGCACCAGGCGCGTGCCCAGCTTGTTCATGCGCTTCTCCAGGGTGTGCCGCGTCTTCTCCAGGTTTTCTTTGGTCTTGAGGCGCGTCTTTTCCAGGTTCTCGCGGGTACGCACCTTGGTCTTCTCCATCTTCTCCTTGGAGAAGGCTTTCTTGAAGTCGTCCACGCGCCGTAGGCCACTGCGCTTGATGCGCTCAGCGCGCGACTCCTCGATAACCTCCTCAACCTCCACCGCCTCGTCCGACGACAGCTCCAGGGCCGCTGCGTCCTCCTCGGGCCGATCGCCCTCGCCCAGCTCCTCGCCCTCCTTCTCTGGCAGCGCCTCCGACTCTTTCAGCGATTTGCTGATGCTCACTTTGGCCGGCAGCTTAACTTCATCCTAAGGGAAGAGGAGAAGGGACATGAGAGGGGTGGGAGGAGGGAGACGTGAGCGAGCCTGAGTCTGGGTGGTGGCGATCCTGGAGAGAGGGGAGCACGGGACACGCGTAGTCCGCAGGAAACTGGCGGGCGCTCAATACATGTGTGTAGGCTCACCCATGTAACATTAGCGCTTTGGGAGACGGAGGCAGGAAGATCGCTTGAATCCAGGAGTTCGAGACCAGCCTGGGCAACACAGCCCCCATCTCCGGCACCCCAACCCCCTGTGGCCATTCTCTCTCTCTCTCTCTCTCTTTTTTTTTTTAGACGGAGTCTCGCTCTGTTTCCCAGCCTGGAGTGCAGTGGCACGATCTTGGCTCACCGCAATCTCTGCCTCCCAGGTTCAAGCAATTCTCCTGCCTCAGCCTCCCGAGTAGCTGGGATTACAGGCGCCCGCCACCATGCCCGGCTGAATTCTGTATCTTTAGTAGAGATGGGGTTTCGTCATGTTGGTCAGGCTGGTCTCGAACTCCCGACCTCAGGTGATCCGCCCGCCTCAGCCTCCCAAAGTTCTGGGATTACAGGTGTGAGCCACCATGCCCAACCTCGCGCCGCCATTCTCTAAAAAATACATGTGTGTTGAACGAATGGTGACTATACAGACCGCGCGAGCAGGGGACCGAGCTTCGGGTCGGAGATGGGCTGCGTAATAATTGCACTTGGGCTAAAATCTCTGTAGTTGTCCAACCCTGTCCTGTGCCCCGTCCACCCGCAGATGATGTTAAACCACTGCGGCCCTCGGGAGACTTTGGAAATGGGCGAGCGCCCTCTGGTGCCGCAAATCGCACACTGCCCGAGCCAGGCGGAAAAGCAAGTGGTGGGAGTATCTGTTTAGGTTGAAAGCCGGTAGGGGTTTGAGCCCACAGCTAAACCTACCCACCCGAGCAGGTAAAGTAAAGGGAGTGCATTTTCCAGACTCAAGCTATTTCTTTTTTTTTTTTTTTTTTTTTTGAGATGGAGTCTCACTTTGTGGCCCAGGCTGAAGTGCAGTGGCGCGATCTCGGCTCACTGCAACCTTCGCCTCCCAGGTTCAAGCAATTCTCCTGCCTCAGTTTCCTGAGTAGCTGGGACTGCAGGCATGCGCCACCACACCTGGTTAATTTTTTTTTTTTTTTTTTTGAGACTGAGTCTGGCTCTGTCGCCCAGGCTGGAGTGCAGTGGCCGGATCTCAGCTCACTGCAAGCTCCGCCTCCCGGGTTTACGCCATTCTCCTGCCTCAGCCTCCGGAGTAGCTGGGACCACAGGCGCCCGTCACCTCGCCCGGCTAGTTTTTTTTTGTATTTTTTAGTAGAGAAGGGGTTTCACCGTGTTACCCAGGATGGTCTCGATCTCCTGACCTTGTGATCCGCCCGTCTCAGCCTCCCAAAGTGCTGGGATTACAGGCTTGAGCCACCGTGCCCGGCTACCTGGCTAATTTTTTTGTATTTTTTAGTAGAGATGGGGTTTCACCATGTTGGTCAGGCTGGTCTCGAACTCCTGACCTCAAATAATCCACCCGCCTTGGCCTCCCAAAGTGCTGGGATTACAGGCATGAGCCACTGCACCTAGCCTCAAGCTATTTCAGAAGCAGCCTGAGAGATGGAGAACTGTGGTCCACCCTCCCCTACCTCCACCTTCCTTGACTCCTTCATACTGTTTGGCTCCGCCAGTGGTCTTTCTCCCCCTCCCTCACATTTAGAAACTGATGTTGGAAAGAGGAAGACGCTGGCTGGGAGCCAAGGACATGTTTTCTCCCCAGTCTGGACATTTCTTCTGGTTGTGACTTCCCTACCTTGGGATGGAAGAGAGATTACTTTTCAATTCTTGCTTTCCCCACCCCCTGCCCCCCACACAAAGCCTGAGCTCAGAGGTCTAGGAGTAGGATGAGTGGTCTCAGATTCTCCATGACCCTGGAGCTCAGAGCCAGTTCTTAGATTTTCTGTCTTCTTGGAGGACTTAGTACCAGAACTGCTTTCCATTCTGGGAAGATTTTCCAAGATCTTGACTCTGGCCAACATTTCAGAATCTCTGGATCACTCCCTCCCCAACCTCCACCCCCATCAGAAAACAGGGGAGGCTGAGCACCGAAAGGGAAAGGGAGACCAAGATCAACAATAGGATCTCCTCTTTGGCCCAGACTCCCTTTAGGGACTTCAAATGAAGAAATGAGAGACAGTTGCGTTTCTAAAGGGTTTTCGGAAGACCATTTCCCAGAATTGTAAGAAAATTCCTGTCCCCTGAGAAAATGAGGCAACATAAACTGAGTCCTCTCATAGACACACACCCCCTCCCGCCCCTATATAGGCCACTCGGTATCTCTGCACCACCTGCTACAGAAATTCCTTCCCCAGCCCCCAACCTCTTTCCTCTTCCCTCCTGTCAACATCCCCCCCGAGTTTCCTGGTTTATACTGAAAACTAGGAACACCCTCTCCCAACTTCCTTCCCTTCTTGTCAATAGCATTAGCAGGGACAAAGAGGGAATGCTGGCTCCACCTCTTCTCTCATTTGGGCACCAGATCTGCTGGGCACCAAGCCACCTCCAGCTCTGTTACCCAACTACACCTCCCAGCAGGCAAGGTGACCTGGGCACAGGGCATGCTGGGACTTGTAGTCTCCCCCGCCATAGGCGGCTTAGTGCAGATCACTAGGGCATTTTGTTTATCCCTCTGCCTCTTATTCACTGAGGCATTGAAGGGTGTTTTCCTTGTTCTGAGTGTAGAAGAGTCTAACCTCTCTTTGCATTCCCTCTGATTTCCAGTCATTCACTTTGGGGCTCCTACAATCACCCTTACCCTGCCTGCTACTGGAGTGTGTATCATTTTAGAATCTAAACCTTCTTCATCCATCTCCACCCAGAATTTACCTGCAGCCCCAGTGTGTGTGTGTGTGTGTGTGTGTGTGTATTTTATATATATATATATATATAAAGATCAGAGCTGATCTTTATATATATATTATATATATTATATATATAAATATTCAGCTCTGATCTTTCCTTCATAACCTCCCAGACTAAAAACCCACCCACGCTCCACCAAAGGGTGGAGGAGAGCCCCTCCTTTCACTAAACTCAGACAATGTGAATAGGCTAGGGAGGGATTAAGGGTGACAGGCAGGGAATAGTCAGGAAACAGCCCCAGCTGCTGGAAAACAAATCCACTTTGTCTCTCTGCCCCACCCCCAGCATCCCCCACTTCTCCCCTACCCCTGCTGCCTGCTCCACTCCTACCCCTAAAGGCTGAGCTGGCTGGTTTTCCTGGCCCCTGGCTTCCTAGATAAAGGTCTTTGCCAGCTGAACTTGGAAGTGAATGGGACTGGGGAGAGAGCTGCAGGCTTCTTACAGCCAGTGCCATCTTCCTAGTGCTCCATGAAAGGTCTCAAACTACAACATAAGAGAGCAGTCCTAGTGAGAAGAGGTTTTTGCTTTTTTAGTGTTTTTTTTTTTTTTTTTTTTTTTTTGAGACGGAGTTTTGCTCTTGTTCCCCAGGCTGGAGTGCAATGGCGTGATCTTGGCTCACCGCAACCTCCGCCTCCTGGGTTCAAGCAATTCTCCTGCCTCAGCCTCCCAAATAGCTGAGATTACAGGCATGTGCCACCACACCTGACTAATTTTGTATTTTTAGTAGAGATGGGGTTTCTCCATATTGGTCAGGCTGGTCTTGAACTCCCAACCTCATGTGATCCGCCCTCCTTGGCCTCCCAAAGTGCTGGGATTACAAGTGTGAGCCACCATGCCGGCCTTTTTTTTTTTTTTTTTTTTGAGACATGGTCTCACTCTGTCACCCAGGTTGGAGTGCGGTGGCGTGATCTCAGCTCACTGCAACCTCTGCCTCCTGGGTTCAAGCGATTTGCCTGCCTCAGCCTCCCGAGTAGCTGGGATTACAGGCATGCGCCACCACACCCGGCTAGTTTTTGTATTTTTTGGTAGAAACAGGGTTCACCATATTGGCCAGGCTGACCTCGAACTCCTGACCTCAAGTGATCTGCCCGCTTTGTCCTCCCAAAGTGCTGGGATTACAGGCATGAGCCACCGCGCCTGGTCATTTTTGTGTTTTTGTTTGTTTGTTTTGAGATGGGGTCTTGTTCTGTCAACCAGGCTGAAGTGCAGTGGCATGATTACAGCTCACTACAGCCTCAACCTGCTGGGCTCTAGTGATCCTCCTACGTCAGCCTCCCAAGTAGCTGGAACTACAGGTGCACACCAACATGCCCAGCTAATTTTTGTAGTTTTTGTAGAGGCAGAGTCTCACTGTGTTGCCCAGTTTGGTCTCGAACTCCTGGGCTCAAGTGATCCCCTTGCCTTGGCCTCCCAAAGTGCTGAGATTTCTGGCATGAGCCACTGGGCCTGGCCAAGGGGAGGTTTCTTCTTGGATTTAGAAATCTCTCCAGACCAGTAAGGAATCTGGGGGCTCTAACCCCATTCATTGTAGGCTTCTCCTGGAGTGATGGCTTACACGATAGGAGTTGCCTTCTTTCTTTCTTTTTTTTTTTTTTGAGACAGAGTCTCACTCTGTTGCCCAGGCTAGAGTGCAGTGGCGCGATCTCGGCTCACTGCAAGCTCCGCCTCCCGGGTTCACGCCATTCTCCTGCCTCAGCCTCCTGAGTAGCTGGGACTACAGTCGTCCGCAACCACACTTGGCTAATTTTTTGTATTTTTTTTTTTTTTTTAGTAGAGACAGGGTTTCACCATGTTGGCCAGGATGGTCTCGATCTCCTGACCTTGTGATCCGCTGGCCTTGGCCTCCCAAAGTGCTGGGATTACAGGCATGAGCGACTGTGCCTGGCCAGGAGCTGCCTTCTTGGTGGAAGGTCAGGGGACAGAAGACGAAACAACTTGAGCTGAATCCTGGGATGATGCCCAATAGGCTGGTCTGGAAAGGGTATTCCACCATTAGCTTTTCCCCTCCACTCCAAGCCAGGTTTCCCCCATGACTCACAGCCTTGGAGTGCTGTCTTGGTCCCACCCATCTGCCTGCTGGTA